AGGACGTTAGGAAACAAAACGTTAGGAAACAAAACTTCCAAAACACAGCCACACAGCCCGGAAGACCCACACCAGCCATTGTTATACTGATCTATTATACTACTCTGAATCTTAATCACAATGCTAACATGAAAACCCTGTATATGCAAATTACACTTTATCTGTGTCATATTGAAAGGAAGAAGTTGTGTGAATTAGTGCCATGGGGGAAAGAATGTTTAGGAAAGTGTGCTAAAAGTTATTGAGAACCAAGATTTGCTTTTAAAGATTTATTGTTATAAAGCATCAGTGCTCAGATATTTAGCTGAAGGATTAATGCATAAAGCTCAGCAGAGGATAGGTAATAGGAAAATAATGTGCTTGCTTTGTTGTTATGGTCTGCTTTTGCTTAGGAGGAAACAACATTTTAACTGAGGAGCTCAGTTCCTTTTTATCCAGACAATGGTCGGATCACACTACTTTATGTAAAACTGATTTCCATTCACTGGGCTCAAAATGAACATGTTTTAATAAAATGAATATCAGAATAGGTAATAGTTCAGATTTGATCAATATTCAATATTTTGGATTTGTTGTCTTTGTAAATTGAATATTTTCAGCCCTTGGGTCCTGCGTTTAAAATATGTGGGAAGCCAGAGGTCATTAGAATGTGTGGACATTATGACCATTATTACGTAATGCTGAGAAACTTGCAGAAGAAATCTTTAGTCCAAGATGATGATCCTCATACTGGCCAGAGAATGGAAGAGTATTTTAAGCAGAAAGGACAAGAACCACCTCCTCCTCCACCTCATGGGTTGTATTTTTTTTCCTTGAATATGGAAACATCTATTGATTTTTGACGTGATACCCCTTGTATTTTCTGTTTAGAGTTTTCAATGAATTTTATGTTTTTCAGGCCTTCAGAGTATCTTCAGAGACGATTCAATGCCCAGCAAAACAAGTTAAAAGTAGAGAAGCAACTGGTAAGCAATTTCTGTAAATCAAAGAAAAATACAGTGGAACCTCGGGTTACGAACGCTTCTGTTAACGAACTTTTCGGGTTACGACC